AAACAGCATCCCGGGGATTCAATCGATGCTTTCTTTCACTACATCAGTTTAATGAGGTCAAAATTGGAAAAGCCATTGCTTGTCTCATCTCTCGAACAGCTACAAATAGAATGTCTGGAAACTTAAAGAACTTGTTTTGTAGGGATAGATTCCCGATATTACACTCAACCGCAATCAAAGCATTTAAAATAAACGCGATCCTGGAAGACGTGGAAGATGGCGATGGTAAATTGTTCGAGGAAAGTGATGGAATTCTTGATTTATCCGCTATAAGTAAATCTATACTATATTGGAACTGTCAAACACATGGGCATGTATTTCGGGACTGTACAGCGTCCCAAAGAAGTAGATTTTGCTTTAAATATAGGAAACCAAAAACCATTACTCCGAAATGTGGTGAATGTAGAACGGGAGAGCGTTCCTCCGACCAACCCGCCACTCAAAAACCCCCTCCAAGGTAGAACGGGCCAATAAAAATGAAATGGATTTTATTAAAATCCACCACTATTTACTCTTTACCATCAGGGAAGAAAATTACAATAAAACTAAAGCTAGAATTTTTGTTAAAAAAGTCATAGACACCAAGGCGATTCTCAAAATATGCCAGAATTCTAATGAAGAACAAAAAAATTAATCATAAAAAATTAAAAGATAGGGGAATTAAGAAAAAAAAAAAAAACAAATAGAGGAACCTGAAGAGATCGTTGATAGAAGCAATAATAAAATTCCAAAACTATAAAGTTCCTAGGCCGTATGAAACGGTGAAGATCGATGGAAAAACAATCAGAGGCCTCCTCGATTCCGTAGCAACGGCCAGCTTATTAGGAAAAAATTGTAGGGAAATTGTGCAAGATTTGGGTGAAGAAATCAGCAAATATGTGTTTGATGTCAGTACGAAAACAGAATGCATGAAATGTACTTTTACGTATGCCCTAATTTAGAACACGACTTATACCTTGAAGTAGGTTTTTGGGAACTGTTTAACATAATTTTTTTTTTCGACTGAATAAATAGATGTAATTTTGCAAAGAGAACTAGATGGTTAAGCACTATCCCCCTCAACGGCTGTCCAAGAAATTGACTACAAAGGGATCGGCACCATGTTAGCGCTCAACATCATAGAGGAAAGCGATTGGGCGTGGAGGAACCGCACCACTGTGGCTCGGAAACCAGGCAAAAATGGAACAGAATATAGATGCTATCCTGAGCCGCATACACCAACCCTATTATATAAGCAGCGTCGACATGAAGTATGCCTTCTGGCAAATCGAGCTGGAGGGCAAAGCAAAACCACTCACCGCTTTCACGGTGCCAGATCGACCGCTGTACCAATTTCGGGTTATACCATTTGGTCTCGCCTATTTGGACCACTTATTGATCATCGCTGACTCTTTCGAGAATCGCATTCAACTATTGAAGGAAGTAGCCGAATATTTACAAAAGGCAAACCTGACAATAGGCCTTAAGAAATCCTTATCCTGTTTTAAAGAATTGAGATATCTGGGATTTATCATTGGTAATGATAGGCTAGAAGTTATGCGAGAGCAGATAAAGTACAACATGCATCAGGCATGTGAAACCAGTGCTAAAAGATATAACGAGCAAGCACGCTAAGCGAAATTTCTATCAGGAAAAAAGTCTTTAGGATAAATCACCTTCTGTCCGATTTCAAAAATAATATTAATGCAAAATTTTGTGAAAAGTTTCTGAATGTAGGACTGTCAAGCCAATAGGTAATATAAATAATATGTACGAACTTGAAAAACTTAAAGGCAAGCCTCCTGGCAATTTCCACGCCAAAGACATAAAAATGTAAAACGATGATATTATATATTATTAAAGATATATTAAATAAGTGCAATTGAGGTTAAATAAAGGCATGTTTTGTGAACGTCCATTTACTTGCCTTTTGCATTTAATTATGTTAGACTAAGAAGAAATGTAGCTAATTGCCCGGCTATGAGACTTTAGGGTGTGGGAGTTCCCCGCGTTGGGCTCGTAAAAGAATGTCTACACAACAATACCAATACCGCCAATTAGACCAAATTAATTAAAAATTTTTGATAGAAGACACAATGTGACTCAAAAGTGGTCAAGGATCTGACAGTAACGGTAGAAATAAAATTAGTCTATATACATCACGGTACAACATCAGGGTAGATGTAGGTAGGTCTTCATAACATAATGACAACATGTCCGTATTTCATGCGATAATCCTTTCGGATTCGGATCAACCAAGATAAGGATAACAAGTAAAAAAGCAGTAAGTTCGGCCGGGCCGAACTTTGAATACCCTCCACCATTTGAAACGAATTAGAAATTTTCAAAAACATAAAATCCATATATTTTTTTTTAAATCTTTACAATATCTAATATAGGAAGGTACCGATATATGGGGGTTGTTGAGATCAGAGGGGCTCCGTCAATAACAAGCAAAATTTAATGCAATTCTAAATTAAACAGGGGTATATATGATATTGTGGACCTATTAAGACAAATCTGTGTCTGGGTGTAAAGTACTCACAAGGAACTCCTTGTGTGGATTTTCAGATAATTCCATTGGAAAAAGTGTCTAAAATCATCAAACTACTGAATATCGGGGGGTACCGTTATATGGGGGATATACGATATTGCGGACCTATATAGACAATTCCCTTTCAGGGGGTAAAGTGCTCACAAACTCCTTGTGAGGATTTTCCGACAATACGATAAAAATACCGAATATAGGGGGTACCATTATATGGGGGCTATACGATATCGTGTACCTATATAGATAATTCTGTGCTGAGGTATAAAATACCCACATGGAACTCCTTGTGTGGATCTTCAGATAATTCCATTGAAAAATGTGGGTAAAGTTATCAAAATACCAGATATCGGGGGTACAGTTACATGGGGATATACGATATCGTGGACCTATATAGACAATTCTTTTTCAGAGGGTAGAATACTCACAAGAGACTCCTTTTGTGGAATTTCAGACACTACCAGTGAAAAATTGGCTAAAATTGTCAAAATACCGAATACCGGGGAGTACCGTTATATGGGGGCTATACGATATCGTGGACCGATATAGCCCATCTTCGAACTTGACCTGCCTGCAGACAAAAGAGAGATCTGTGCAAAATTTAACCTTCATATCTTAATTCGTTTAGACTCTAGCGTAATTACAACAGACGGACGGACAGGGCTAAATCGTCTTAGAATTTTACGCTGATCAAGAATATATATTCTTTGTTTGGTCTAAAATGATTATTTCGATGAGTTACAAACGGAATGACGAACGTATGTAACGTAAATGTATGGTGGAGGGTATAAAAAGAAACCAGTAACACAACCACATAGACTGAAACCAAGCATAAGACCTAGTCCAAGAAAAATGTAATGATTTTTAAACCCTCCACCATACTATGGATTATATTAACTTTGCCATTCCGTTTGTGACTCCTCGAAATACTCACGTCAGGCCCAACAAAGTATATATATTCTTGATCAGCGAAAAATTCTAAGTCGATTTAGCGATGTCCGTCTGTATGTTGTAATCACGATATCTTTCGAATGAACTGAGATAGATGGCTAAAATTTTGCACACATGTTTATTTTTCCAGTAGGCAGGTTAAGTTCGCGAATGGGCCATGTAGGTCCACGTTTTCATATAGCCCCCATATCACTGTATCTCCCGATATTCGGTATTTTGATGATTTTAGCGACATTATTCACCGGAATTGTTTCAAATTTGGTATTTGAAGTTCGAAATGGATACTACACCCTAAGACGGAAAATTGTCTATGCAAGTTCAGTGTTCATATAGCCCCCATATAACGGTACCTCCCAATATTCGGTATTTTCATGATTTTAGCGGCATTATTCACCAGAATTGTTTCAAATTACGGATTTGAAGTTCGTTGTGGGAACTACAGTCGGTGACAAAAAATTGTCTACGCAGGTTCAGATCTTTGCATAACCCCATATATCAGTACCTCCCTATATTCGGTATTTTGTCGAGTTTGAGATGTGGTATTTCAAGTTCGTAATGGATGCTACAGAATGTGACAGAAAATTGTCTATGCAGGTACAGGTCTTCGCACAGCTCCGATATAACGGTAGGGAGATACCGTTATATATACGATATTTTGATGATTTTAGCTACATTATTCATCGTTTATTGCAAGTTTCGAATTTGAATGTCGTAATGGCTTATGACAAACAATGCCTATGTAGGCCCACGTCGTATAGACCCCAATATAACGGCTATATTTGGTATTTTTAAAATTTTAACATAATGTTTTAAGGATTTTATGTTTTGTAAGTTTCCAAATTCGTTCCAAATGGTAGAGGGTATTCAAAGGCCCGGCCGAACTTACTGCTTTTTAGCTTGTTTTCTTTGAAATTGAAAATTACGAAAAAGCAAGGCAAATTTATCGAGGTATTTTCAAAAAAAAAAAAAAAGAACATTTTCATTTTCTGTCAATTTTGTCATTGAAAATTTGATCAATTTTTTTATACACATCATCATATCGAATAAACACCATAAAAACAAGCTGAAATATAAGAAAGTAAAAACAAAAACGACTACAAAAATAAATGTCGAAATAATTCTATAGTTATAGAAGCAGATAGATGTATATTTTAATCTACCGCATTTTTTGCAATATATACAGGCATGTCATAAAATCGTATCGAAATTTCGAAATTCAAAATCGAACATTTTTGTTTTAGCTTCTTTACTACGAATTCAGTGTACATATGGCAACATTATATATTGAATTGTGTGACATAAGGGGAATGAAAGAAAGAATGAATGAGGAATCAAAACAAAACACATGATTAAAAAACATTGTAGAAGTGTAACTTCTGAAAAATATCCTGTTAATGAGAGTTTTTTTGTGCAAAAAGAAAGTTTATTTCATTATTTTTTACGCAATGCCGGGGTTTTGATTGTTTCTGTAATTGAGGCGCAAAATAATGCACATAATATTAAAAAAATACGCCGAGGGAAGTTAAGAGGTTAATTAATGATTAATTGATTAAACAGAATTCCACAATTTAAGATACATTTTTGTACAAGATTCTTTTTTGTGTGTTTTTTATCTTTGCTCCAGTTTATTATTCGTAATACCACATTTTTTGGTTTTCACAGATGAATAATTTTTGTTTGACGAAAAAAGTGATTTGGCAACAATTGGTTAACAATTGTCTTCGTCACAGTGAAGTCACTATATGTTGTCAGTCTGTACCTGCCATACAAAACTACAAAAAAATTGTTTGTAAAACTCAACTTTCTATGGATGTCCTCTTTTTTGGTAACACACCTCCTCTTCCAAAAAATTACTAAGATGCGGATCCGATTTAAGGAATGAAGGTAAATCAGTTTGGTATATTGTGTGTCAACAACATACATATGGGGTGTTAGTACCGATGCACACTATTATAAAACGGTAAGATGAATTCCATTTAGTTGCACAAGCAGAAACGAAAATAAACACTGTGCCACAAATGTTAACATTTTGAAACATAGAATGCGGTTTCCACTGCCTGCCTATTTAGCCACGCCAACCGCTTTGTGTTCATAACAAGAGATTATACACCACCAGTACTGCTCCGAAAATACTAACGCTTATGGGTAATAAAATGTTAATAAACCGAACATGTCCATTGGAAAATCCGTCCTTATATTAAATACCTGAAAAAAGAAAAGCATAAATAATATAGAATATAGTCATTAACAAAATATAAAGTAATACTCTGACTCACAATATGTAAAAAAAATATATAAACTTAAATAAACATTTTTTCATGGCCTGCTGTTTAGAGTGAGTTAAATGTTTAACATTTCATACAAAAACACATCCTTGCGATGTGCCAATTCTGAAGGAAATTAAATAATCCATGCAGCGAATAACATTTTCCAATTGCTTACCTGAATTTCATATTCTGAAAATGACTTCTTCCATTTCCTTTCTATTGCGTGGCCGACAGTAAGTCCCCCTAATTTTTTTTTACCACGGGTTTCCATCACTTTAGGCAAATTTATAAATTATATAAAACAAAAACAGACAAATAAGTCACGAACATCACCATTTTGATTGACTGAAATCAAAATGGGGAAGTATTGTTGCATGTGACTTATAGGTCAATTAATTGTATTTTCTTTAAAAAACTGTCGACAGTTCGTCGCACCAACCGAGTTATCAGCCACTGTCTCAAAAATAAGGCGGAGACGGTCAGTACAACATTCCGGACCAAAAAAAGGTGATGCCACTTCAGGGTTGTATTATTGTCAGCCAATGTGGAATGATGACAGTAAAGTAAATACAACACTGATTAATATCGTAGGATTTATTAGAACCGGTGGAAAAAGGAAAATAAATAAATCTTCTATGAAAAGAGAATTTTTTTTGAAAATAGGGAAAATTCCGACATTTTGACCGAGGGTATAAAGGAGGCCGAGTTGGGAAAACGCTGGACATTTAAGTGCCGTTCCTAACCTGGATGTTGGATTTTTTTTTTTGACTTCGTTTTCGCCAAAATAGAAAAAAAGAAGAAGTAAATGTTACAAAAATAAATAAGTTCGAAAGTAGGTTTATTTTGTTGAAAATAGTTCGTTTTTAATCGATGTTTTGGGCAGAAAAACATTTAAGTAAGTGGTGATTGTGCAAATTTAATGTATCTAATACTGATGGTGGTCGGGTTTTTTATGTTCCTTTTCTTTTTAGTTTGCACCAGAAGTATTAAAAATAAATCAACTGTCCTCCTCAATAATCTAAACGAGGGGAGAGCAGAATTTTTTTCGTGTACAAATGACATGACTGGGAAATACCCGTATTTATAATTACAGATAACTTTCATATACGGAATAACTAAGTACACTAGCTAGTTAGCATATTCCCCAGCTACCCATTGATGATTTAATTCAGGTTTTTTACCTACGAAAAAATATAAATATAATACGAAATATAATACTAATTCAAACTTGATGTAGTCTAACTCTTAAATTTCTGTTGTCCATATTTCGTATCCTAGTGCTTAAGTTTTATTTTGTGAGGATTATTTATGCCGGTGCTTTTAATTTCGGGAATGTGGGATTAACCCTTAGCGAATATAAAAAAACTCCCATGACTATTGAAATTTCGTCCACCGCTTAAGAGAGCTTTTTTAGTTAGGTAGGTTATGTCTTTGTGTGTTGTGAAGCCGCATTGGCTTTCGCGTCTAGAAAAAGCTTTTATTCTGAGTTAGTGATTCCCAGCTGTACAAAATTGATTTCCGCGGTATTAGTAGTTCAGTTTTTGTGATCCTAAATGATTATGTGTTTATAGGTTAAGTAACGATGACAAAATCTCAAATAAATGTTTGTTTTATTGCCTAAATAGCAATATGATGTGCTGATTTCTATTTGTGAGAGAGGATACTAGGATGTAGGTTTCGCGTGAGATAAGCGTCTGTAGGAATTCGGGACCCTTTTAAAATTTATATGTGTTTTTGGAACAAAGGGTCAAGGTTGGTTGGGCAATGTGTGGGAACAGATTTCAGCTGCTGGTGGTAAGGGTTGAGAATCCCCCGGAACGAAATGCCATGACTGAGTGTGCCGGAACCCTACCAGAGTGTCGATGTAGGTGGACCATAACAATTTGCATTCCTTATGAAATATAAAATAGTAGAAACTCGGAACAATTTTATTTTTGTATTTTTATTTATTCAATTTGGCTGTTTCGTGAATTGTTATACCCTCCATCATACATTGCATGAAGGGTATATTAAGTTCGTCATTCAGTTTGTAACTCATCGAAATAATATTTTAGATCCAACAAAGTATATATATTCTTATTCAACGTAAAATTCTAAGACGATTTAGCCCTGTCCCTTCTTAAATGTAGACCTGTCCCTGCCCTTCTGTTGTAATCACGCTACCTAAAACACAGATCAGTTTTTTGTGTGCAGGTAGGTCAAGTTCGAAGATGGGCTATATCGGTCCACGATATCGAATGTTCCCCACATAACGGTACCTTTCAATATTCGGTATTTGGATGAATATAGGCACAATTTTTAAATTCTACAAAAGGAGTTCTTTGCGGGTACTTTACTCCCTGGAGGAGAATTGTCTATATAGGTTCACGATATCGTACATCTCCCGATATGCGGTATTTTGATGATTTTAACCACATTTATTTTGATGATTTTAACCACATTTTTCAATGGAATTGTCTAAAATTCTACACAAGGGGTTCTTTTTTAACCCCTTGAAAAAGAATTGTCTATATTGGTCTACGATATCGTATATCCCCCATATAACTGCACCTACAGATATTCGACATTTTGATGATTTTAGCCACATTTTAAATTGTAATTGGTTTAAAATCCATACAAGTAGTTCCTTCTGAGTACTCCACACCCTGAAAGAGTATTGTCTATATAGGTCCACGATATCGTATATCTCCCATATAACTGTACCTCCATTCGATATTTTGATGATGTTAATCTCATTTTTAATGGCATTGTCATAAATTCTAGAGAAGACGTTCTCTGCGAATACTTTACCCTCTGAAAGGGAAATTTCTGTATAGTTCCACGATATCGTATATCTCCCATACAATGGTACCCCGGTATTCGGTATTTTGATGATTTTAGCACATTTTTCAATGGAATAGTCTGAAAATCCAAACCAGGAGTTCTCTCTGAGTACTTAACCCCTGAAAGAGAACTGCCTATATAGGTCTACGTTTTAGTATTGCACCCATAAAACGCTACCACGAGATATTCGGTATTTGCAGCATTTTCGCAACATTATACACTGGATGTGCGTCAAATTTCGTTTTTGAAGTTCGTACTACAACCTATATAGGTCTACGTTTTAGTATTGCACCCATATAACGCTACCACGAGATATTCGGTATTTCCAGCATTTTCGCAACATTATACACCGGAAGTGTGTCAAATTTCGTATTTGAAGTTCGTAATGGGTACTTCAACCTATAACGGAAAATTAAATTAACCTATAATTATGTCCGAAACGCAGCTTCTTTTTTAATTGTTACATTTCATCTGAGATTCCAGCGCTTCTATTTGTAGTCAGATTTGTGTGGCTTTTTGCAAAGATGATGGAGATTGGCATTCACAGCTTCTATGAGGGCTGCCGGTTGTAGTAGCAGGCGTACAATTTGCCTCATTTGTGGTGTTTAGGTTTTTCCGTGGAGGAAAACCGGGCCAGGTTTTCTTCCTTTATTTGCTGTTGGCGCTTGAAATATTCAACCAGAGTTAACCTCTTAGGACCTTGGGGTAATGTGTCCTGATTGGATTTCCAGCTCGAGGCCTGCAACCTGTCCTTGTTCTTGTGTAGACACGTAAATCTCTAGAGATTAATGTGATTACATGGACGATTGGTACAATCGCCAGTCCTTACATACAGCGAACGGCAACCAATAATGCTACCACATGGCTCAAATGTCGAATTTGTTTAATACACAAAAAGCAAACCCAACTAAGGCTATACATATGGTACCCACAAGCGACTTCTCGACATATGCCTTTACTTCCGCTTTTTTAGGTTTATACGTCGGCGAGATTGTCCGTCTTGTATATTTTCTGAGAACGGGACTAACTTTGTGGGAGCATTTGATCTGTTAAAGCGAGATCGATTAGCTTTAATGAAGAATATTGAAATTAACTTCACTCAAAATTAGACTTGGAAATTTATTTTTAAAACAAAAAAAAAATCCGTTAAAAATTCTCTTTAAATCTTAAAAATACCAAACATAGCAGTTTTATTGGTGTCTTTACGACGTGGACCTACATAGGCATTGTTTGTTATAAGCCATTACCATATTAAAAACGGGTATATTTAGCATCTTCAAAATACCGTATATAGGGAGGTACCGTTATATCGGAGCTATACGAAGACCTGGACCTGCATAGACAATTTTCTGTCACAGTCTGTAGTATTCATTACGAATTTCAAATACGACATTTCTAACAACTTCGGTGAGTATTGTACCTAAAACCGTCAAAATACCTGCACAAAAAATTTTGTGTCACCGACTGTAGTACCAATTACGAATTCTAGATACGTAATTTGAAACTACTACGGTGAATAATGACGCTAAAATCATCAAAATACCGAATATTGGGAGGTACCGTTATATGGGGGATATAGGAAGACGTGGACCTGCACAGACAATTTCTGTTTTAGGCGGCAGTATCCATTAGGAACTTCAAATATCAAATTCGAATCAATTCCGGTGAATAATGTCGCTATAATCATCAAAATACCGAATATAGGGAGGTACCTTTATATGGGGGCTATACGAAAACGTGGACCTATGGTGAGTACAACAGACAGACTGACATCGCTAAACCGACTCAGAATTTTACGCTGATCAAGAATATATATACTTTGTTGGGTCTGACATGAGTATTTCGAGGAGTAACAAATTGAATGACAAAGTTAACATACCCTCCATAGAATGGTGGAGGGTTTAAAACGAGAAATCAAAGACAGAGATTTAGTTTTAGGTTAGCTCGCATGAATCGATGTTGGGTTGTATCGTAGCCCAGACTCACCTGCCCGTCCAACAGCAAGAAGCGCTAACAGACCCCTGCGCCCAATCCAACGCAGGCCCAGCAGACTAGGCCATAGATACAACAGAAGCCTCAGTTCAGCACCCCCTGAAAGGAGACAGAGAAGCAAATCTGCTATACTAAGAAGATCATGCCCTTAGTGCCTGTGAGAGTTTCCGCAGGTAGGCGTTTTTCAGTATAAGAGAGAAGCGTCGGGGTATCGAAGAAATTGCTAGTCGACTGCCCGTCCTTAACTCGTTGCCGGAGATGCAACGACGGCACCATACCTTACTGCACGGGGCGTCTTAGTTGAACGAGGCATCCCTCAACATAGAGGCCGTAACCACCCCAGCTTTTTTGTGGGATTTGGTATTTGTACCAATGGTGATGGTACGAATAACGGTCGAAAGGTTCAGAATGTTGCGGGCCATAGTAAGCCAATCTAGGACGATGTCAAAGATTTTGTATGCAGCGTTCGACTGGGTCTTCAGTCGCGGGATTTACCACTTCACAAGTTCCCCAGCCGCACAAACAGTACTTGTAGTCTGAAGGTAAATACATTGATAATCGAAGAACTGCCCATATGCATCTCCTCAGACAACACAAGATGTTTTAGAAACTAAGCCTTTGCTGACCCTGGCCCAAAAGGAAATAATCCGATCGATGTGGAATGAGGGGCGGACACTTACTCCGGCATAAGAAAATATGGGTGCACAGCTCCAGAAATTGGAGATGTCCTGGTCTACAGTACGCAACTGGGCTACGTGTTTGCTGGACCAATCAAGAATATGCCGAGGAACTGATTAACGAGAAACCTTATGCTATATAGTTAATGAATATTTACACATGTCACTCGGGGCCCACATAAATAACATTAAAACAGAATGATGTAAATGATGATGCCACCGGTAAATTCCAATCAATAACATCGACAACAGCCACAAATGGTTTGATGTGACGATGCAACTTTTAAAATAATCAGTTTTTAACGAATTTTAAGTCCGAACGCAATGTACATTAAAAAAGGCTGAAACAACAGAAACATCAAGCAACATTTTACATACAAAATTTAAAAAGAAAAAATATTGTTATTACAAATACACAAATACAACAAATAAAGAAAAAATTTTACAAAACATTTATATTAAAAACATATAGAACAGTGTGGCTTGTTTGTTCGGGATACCGCAGTATTTTGTTGTTGGTTGGTTTTGTCTGTTACAACAATAACCCCTTCGTCGACCGTGCCTTGTCTATTAATAGAACAGTGTGGCTTGTTTGTTCGGGATACCATAGTATTTTGTTGTTGCAAAATGGTCAGACTTTATCCCTTTATTGTTGTTTTTATAAAAAAACAACGTTTGTTTATTAGTGGAGAACGATGGTAATGTTTACCAGGGGGTAAGGCAGGGAATACCTAGGCTTCGGAAAGAGACACCAATCCTCATCAGTTCCCTTGTTTTTTGTCTGGGATATTCTCCCCAGAAGTTATTTTAAAAATAACTTCTATGACAAAAAAACATTTTTACCCAACTGACTAGATCGTAAGCTCAATAGAAGAGGAAACAAAGAATTAAATAAAACTAAAATTCTTTTGGAAAATCTTCTAAATCTTACAAAAAAATGTTTTTTTGTCATAGAATTTTACATTTGTAACCTTAGCAACTTATCTAAAGTCTGTTTGTTATTTCGAAATCGGGACAATATTTTTGCGTTTATGTTGTTATACGTTTTATACAAAATTAAAGAAAAAGGCTATGCAAACATTGCATGTGGATACAAGCGCCTCGTCTTCAGAGACAAGTGAAACACAGAGTTTAGAGGATTACTGCAAATCGGTAAATAACGTTTTCGCCTACTGGTTACAATAACGTTGTAAAAGCAATTTATCTTAGTAAAATAAAATCGTGGAGGCGCATAAAAGGATCAAGTATGAACAAAAAGGTAGAAATGCCCCGGCCACCATGGCGAGCGGTAAGCTTTTCAACTTTACCAAAACCGGACAAAAACGCCCTGCTGCGCGCGAAGCTCTGTGCCACAAATGTTAAAATTTTGAAACATAGAATGCGGTTTCCACTGCCTGCCTATTTAGCCACGCCAACCGCTTTGTGTTCATAACAAGAGATTATACACCACCAATACTGCTCCGAAAATACTAACGCTTATGGGTAATAAAATGTTAATAAACCGAACATGTCCATTGGAAAATCCGTCCTTATATTAAATACCTGAAAAAAGAAAAGCATAAATAATATAGAATATAGTCATTAACAAAATATAAAGTAATACTCTGACTCACAATATGTCAAAAAAATATATAAACTTAAATAAACATTTTTTCATGGCCTGCTGTTTAGAGTGAGTTAAATGTTTAACATTTCATACAAAAACACATCCTTTGCGATGTGCCAATTCTGACATTGCCAACAGTGATGTATGCATGAAACAGCTCTGCCAATGCTAACAGCGTGGCATGAAATGATTCTGCCATTGCCGACGGCAATGTGTGTGTGTGTGAATATTTTCTGCATCACATGCGTTCATGAGGCAGAATGAGAAAACATTCGTACTACGAATCGAATCGTAGCCTCGAATGATGAACGGGTTATATGAACGTATGCATGCCTAAAAACACGCCATATTTTTTTGATACGTACGCATTTACATACAAAGAGCAAATACGAGTATTCCAAATTGAAGAAAATCTGCTTTGCATGTAATGGAAAAAAAGGAAATTAAATGATCCATGCAGCGAATAACATTTTCCAATTGCTTACCTGAATTTCATATTCTGAAAATGACTTCTTCCATTTCCTTTCTATTGCGTGGCCGACAGTAAGTCCCCCTAATTTTTTTTACCACGGGTTTCCATCACTTTAGGCAAATTTATAAATTATATAAAACAAAAACAGACAAATAAGTCACGAACATCACCATTTTGATTGACTGAAATCAAAATGGGGAAGTATTGTTGCATGTGACTTATAGGTCAATTAATTGTATTTTCTTTAAAAAACCGTCGACAGTTCGTCGCACCAACCGAGTTATCAGCCACTGTCTCAAAAATAAAGCGGAGGCGGTCAGTACAACATTCCGGACCAAAAAAAGGTGATGCCACTTCAGGGTTGTATTATTGTCAGCCAATGTGGAATGATGACAGTAAAGTAAATACAACACTGATTAATATCGTAGGATTTATTAGAACCGGTGGAGAAAGGAAAATAAATAAATCTTCTATGAAAAGAGAATTTTTTTTGAAAATAGGGAAAATTCCGACATTTTGACCGAGGGTATAAAGGAGGCCGAGTTGGGAAAACGCTGGACATTTAAGTGCCGTTCCTAACCTGGATGTTGGATTTTTTTTTTTTTTGACTTCGTTTTCGCCAAAATAGAAAAAAATAAGAAGTAAATGTTACAAAAATACAAAAATAAATAAGTTCGAAAGTAGGTTTATTTTGTTGAAAATAGTTCGTTTTTAATCGATGTTTTGGGCAGAAAAACATTTAAGTAAGTGGTGATTGTGCAAATTTAATGTATCTAATACTGATGGTGGTCGGGTTTTTTATGTTCCTTTTCTTTTTAGTTTGCACCAGAAGTATTAAAAATAAATCAACTGTCCTCCTCAATAATCTAAACGAGGGGAGAGCAGAATTTTTTTCGTGTACAAATTCCAACATCTGACAACAAAATAAAGTGTGAGTTGGATATGAAACCCTCCTTTGGCTGATGCAATGGTGGCATGACTGGGAAATACCCGTATTTATAATTACAGATAACTTTCATATACGGAATAACTAAGTACACTAGATAGTTAGCATATTCCCCAGCTACCCATTGATGATTTAATTCAGGTTTTTTACCTACGAAAAAATATAAATATAATACGAAATATAATACTAATTCAAGCTTGATGTAGTCTAACTCTTAAATTTCTGTTGTCCATATTTCGTATCCTAGTGCTTAAGTTTTATTTTGTGAGGATTATTTATGCCGGTGCTTTTAATTTCGGGAATGTAGGATTAACCCTTAGCGAATATAAAAAAAACTCCCATGACTATTGAAATTTCGTCCACCGCTTAAGAGAGCTTTTTTAGGTAGGTAGGTTATGTCTTTGTGTGTTGTGAAGCCGCATTGGCTTTCGCGTCTAGAAAAAGCTTTTATTCTGAGTTAGTGATTCCCAGCTGTACAAAATTGATTTCCGCGGTATAAGTAGTTCAGTTTTTGTGATCCTAAATGATTATGTATTTATAGGTTAAGTAACGATGACAAAATCTCAAATAAATGTTTGTTTTATTGCCTAAATAGCAATATGATGTGCTGATTTCTATTTGTGAGAGAGGATACTAGGATGTAGGTTTCGCGTGAGATAAGCGTCTGTAGGAATTCGGGACCCTTTTAAAATTTATATGTGTTTTTGGAACAAAAGGTCAAGGTTGGTTGGGCAATGTGTGGGAACAGATTTCAGCTGCTGGTGGTAAGGGTTGAGAATCCCCCGGATCGAAATGCCATGACTGAGTGTGCCGGAACCCTACCAGAGTGTCGATGTAGGTGGACCATAACAATTTGCATTCCTAATGAAATATAAAATAGTAGAAACTCGGAACAATTTTATTTTTGTATTTTTATTTATTCAATTTGGCTGTTTCGTGAATTGTTATACCCTCCATCATACATTGCATGAAGGGTATATTAAGTTCGTCATTCAGTTTGTAACTCATCGAAATAATATTTTAGATCCAACAAAGTATATATATTCTTATTCAACGTAAAATTCTAAGACGATTTAGCCCTGTCCCTTCTTAAATGTAGACCTGTCCCTGCCCTTCTGTTGTAATCACGTTAGCTAAAACACACAGATCAATTTTTTGTGTGCAGGTAGGACAAGTTCGAAGATGGGCTATATCGGTCCACGATATCGAATGTTCCCCACATAACGGTACCTTTCAATATTCGGTATTTGGATGAATTTAGGCACAATTTTTAAATTCTACAAAAGGAGTTCTTTGCGGGTACTTTACTCCCTGGAGGAGAATTGTCTATATAGGTTCACGATATCGTACATCTCCCGATATGCGGTATTTTGATGATTTTAACCACATTTATTTTGATGATTTTAACCACATTTTTCAATGGAATTGTCTAAAATTCTACACAAGGGGTTCTTTTTTAACCCCTTGAAAAAGAATTGTCTATATTGGTCTACGATATCGTATATCCCCCATATAACTGCACCTACAGATATTCGACATTTTGATGATTTTAGCCACATTTTAAATTGTAATTGGTTTAAAATCCATACAAGTAGTTCCTTCTGAGTACTCCACACCCTGAAAGAGTATTGTCTATATAGGTCCACGATATCGTATATCTCCCATATAACTGTACCTCCATTCGATATTTTGATGATGTTAATCTCATTTTTAATGGCATTGTCATAAATTCTAGAGAAGACGTTCTCTGCGAATACTTTACCCTCTGAAAGGGAAATTTCTGTATAGTTCCACGATATCGTATATCTCCCATACAATGGTACCCCGGTATTCGGTATTTTGATGATTTTAGCACATTTTTCAATGGAATAGTCTGAAAATCCAAACCAGGAGTTCTCTCTGAGTACTTAACCCCTGAAAGAGAACTGCCTATATAGGTCTACGTTTTAGTATTGCACCCATAAAACGCTACCACGAGATATTCGGTATTTGCAGCATTTTCGCAACATTATACACTGGATGTGCGTCAAATTTCGTTTTTGAAGTTCGTACTACAACCTATATAGGTCTACGTTTTAGTATTGCACCCATATAACGCTACCACGAGATATTCGGTATTTCCAGCATTTTCGCAACATTATACACCGGAAGTGTGTCAAATTTCGTATTTGAAGTTCGTAATGGGTACTTCAACCTATAACGGAAAATTAAATTAACCTATAATTATGTCCGAAACGCAGCTTCTTTTTTAATTGTTACATTTCATCTGAGATTCCAGCGCTTCTATTTGTAGTCAGATTTGTGTGGCTTTTTGCAAAGATGATGGAGATCGGCATTCACAGCTTCTATGAGGGCTGCCGGTTGTAGTAGCAGGCGTACAATTTGCCTCATTTGTGGTGTTTAGGTTTTTCCGTGGAGGAAAACCGGGTCAGGTTTTCTTCCTTAATTTGCTGTTGGCGCTTGAAACATTCAACCAGAGTTAACCTCTTAGGACCTTGGGGTAATGTGTCCTGATTGGATTTCCAGCTCGAGGCCTGCAACCTGTCCTTGTTCTTGTGTAGACACGTAAATCTCTAGAGATTAATGTGATTACATGGACGATTGGTACAATCGCCAGTCCTTACATATAGCGAACGGCAACCAATAATGCTACCACATGGCTCAAATGTCGAATTTGTTTAATACACAAAAAGCAAACCCAACTAAGGCTATACATATGGTACCCACAAGCGACTTTTCGACATATGCCTTTACTTCCGCTTTTTTAGGTTTATACGTCGGCGAGATTGTCCGTCTTGTATATTTTCTGAGAACGGGACTAACTTTGTGGGAGCATTTGATCTGTTAAAGCGAGATCGATTAGCTTTAATGAAGAATATTGAAAATAACTTCACTCAAAATTAGACTTGGAAATTTATTTTTAAAACAAAAAAAAAATCCGTTAAAAATTCTCTTTAAATCTTAAAAATACCAAACATAGCAGTTTTATTGGGGTCTTTACGACGTGGACCTACATAGGCGTTGTTTGTTATAAGCCATTACCATATTAAAAACGGGTATATTTAGCATCTTCAAAATACCGTATATAGGGAGGTACCGTTATATCGGAGCTATACGAAGACCTGGACCTGCATAGACAATTTTCTGTCACAGTCTGTAGTATTCATTACGAATTTCAAATACGACATTTCTAACAACTTCGGTGAGTATTGTACCTAAAACCGTCAAAATACCTGCACAAAAAATTTTGTGTCACCGACTGTAGTACCAATTACGAATTTAAGATACGTAATTTGAAACTACTACGGTGAATACGGTAAATGTTTATAAGTGCGGTTGTAAGATTTAGAAGATTTTCCAAAAGAATTTTAGTTTTATTTAATTCTTTGGTTCCTCTTCTATTGAGCTTACGATCTAGTCACTTGGGAAAAAAATATTTTTTTGTCATAGAAGTTATTTTTAAAATAACTTCTGGGGAGAATATCCCAGACAAAAAACAAGGGAACTGATGAGGATTGGTGGCTCTTTCCGAAACCTAGGTATTCCCTGCCTTACCCCCTGGTAAACATTACCATCGTTCTCCACTAATAAACAAACGTTGTTTTTTTTATAAAAACAACAATAAAGGGATAAAGCCTGACCATTTTGCAACAACAAAATACTACGGTATCCCGAACAAACAAGCCACACTGTTCTATTAATAGACAAGGCACGGTCGACGAAGGGGTTTTTGTTGTTACAGACAAAACCAACTTACATGGTTATGCTACTTCGTTCAGGTTGAACGAAAGCATAACAAGTGGAGAAAGATGAAAATGTTTATAAGTGCGGTTGTAAGATTTAGAAGATTTTCGAAAAGAATTTTAGTTTTATTTAATTCTTTGGTTCCTCTTCTATTGAGCTTACGATCTAGTCAGTTGGGTAAAAATGTTTTTTGTCATAGAAGTTATTTTTAAAATAACTTCTGGGGAGAATATCCCAGACAAAAAACAAGGGAACTGATGAGGATTGGTGGCTCTTTCCGAAACCTAGGTATTCCCTGCCTTAACCCCTGGAAAACATTACCATCGTTCTCCACTAATAAACAAAGGTTTTTTTTTATAAAAACAACAATATAGGGATAAAGCCTGACCAATAAAAACATATATATTAAAACTTAAGTGCTACCTTACTTAAGTAAAACTTTTGAACTATTGAATTAAAACTTAAGAAGTAGTGAATATTACACTTAAAATAAATTACAAAATCTAACACCTAATTTTATCTCTTAATTGCACTTCCCCAGGGAAAAAATATAATGAATAAATAAAACACGAAATAATATAGTTTTCGAATTTTGTGATTTGTCTTAACTGTTTCACGCCAATTATTATAAAGTGCAAATTAAAATAGCTAATCAATATGGTGACAGATGAAATCCTGAATAACATTGAACAATTTTTTGTGAGAATGTGTTTCACTATATATTTTGAATACACGCAATGCTAAAATTTATCGTTTGTAAGAATTAAAATTATATTCTGAAAAGAAAACATTACGCTTTCTACATAACATTTCTAATATTTACGTTTTACGGTGAAGCTATTTGAGAAATTGCCAAAACAGCTAGGTGCACATTTTACATTTGTAACCTTAGCAACTTATCTAAAGTCTGTTTGTTATTTCGAAATCGGGACAATATTTTTGCGTTTATGTTGTTATACGTTTTATACAAAACTAAAGAAAAAGGCTATGCAAACATTGCATGTGGATACAAGCGCCTCGTCTTCAGAGACAAGTGAAACACAGAGTTTTGAGGATTACTGCAAATCGGTAAATAACGTTTTCGCCTACTGGTTAAATAACGTTGTAAAAGCAATTTATCTTAGTAAAATAAAATCGTGGAGGCGCATAAAAGGATCAAGTATGAACAAAAAGGTAGAAATGCCCCGGCCACCATGGCGAGCGGTAAGCTTTTCAACTTTACCAAAACCGGACAAAAACGCCCTGCTGCGCGCGAAGCTCTGTGCCACAAATGTTAACATTTTGAAACATAGAATGCGGTTTCCACTGCCTGCCTATTTAGCCACGCCAACCGCTTTGTGTTCATAACAAGAGATTATACACCACCAATACTGCTCCGAAAATACTAACGCTTATGGGTAATAAAATGTTAATAAACCGAACATGTCCATTGGAAAATCCGTCCTTATATTAAATACCTGAAAAAAGAAAAGCATAAATAATATAGAATATAGTCATTAACAAAATATAAAGTAATACTCTGACTCACAATATGTCAAAAAAATATATAAACTTAAATAAACATTTTTTCATGGCCTGCTGTTTAGAGTGAGTTAAATGTTTAACATTTCATACAAAAACACATCCTTTGCGATGTGCCAATTCTGACATTGCCAACAGTGATGTATGCATGAAACAGCTCTGCCAATGCTAACAGCGTGGCATGAAATGATTCTGCCATTGCCGACGGCAATGTGCGACCTAATTATGCCGTTGCCAACGGTTATATGTGTGTGTGTGTGTGAATATTTTCTGCATCACATGCGTTCATGAGGCAGAATGAGAAAACATTCGTACTACGAATCGAATCGTAGCCTCGAATGATGAACGGGTTATATGAACGTATGCATGCCTAAAAACACGCCATATTTTTTTCGATACGTACGCATTTACATACAAAGAGCAAATACGAGTTTTCCAAATTGAAGAAAATCTGCTTTGCATGTAATGGAAAAAAAGGAAATTAAATAATCCATGCAGCGAATAACATTTTCCAATAGCTTACCTGAATTTCATATTCTGAAAATGACTTCTTCCATTTCCTTTCTATTGCGTGGCCGACAGTAAGTCCCCCTAATTTTTTTTACCACGGGTTTCCATCACTTTAGGCAAATTTATAAATTATATAAAACAAAAACAGACAAATAAGTCACGAACATCACCATTTTGATTGACTGAAATCAAAATGGGGAAGTATTGTTGCATGTGATTTATAGGTCAATTAATTGTATTTTCTTTAAAAAACCGTCGACAGTTCGTCGCACCAACCGAGTTATCAGCCACTGTCTCAAAAATAAGGCGGAGACGGTCAGTACAACATTCCGGACCAAAAAAAGGTGATGCCACTTCAGGGTTGTATTATTGTCAGCCAATGTGGAATGATGACAGTAAAGTAAATACAACACTGATTAATATCGTAGGATTTATTAGAACCGGTGGAAAAAGGAAAATAAATAAATCTTCTATGAAAAGAGAATTTTTTTTGAAAATAGGGAAAATTCCGACATTTTGACCGAGGGTATAAAGGAGGCCGAGTTGGGAAAACGCTGGACATTAAGGTGCCGTTCCTAACCTGGATGTTGGATTTTTTTTGACTTCGTTTTCGCCAAAATAGAAAAAAAGAAGAAGTAAATGTTACAAAAATACAAAAATAAATAAGTTCGAAAGTAGGTTTATTTTGTTGAAAATAGTTCGTTTTTAATCGATGTTTTGGGCAGAAAAACATTTAAGTAAGTGGTGATTGTGCAAATTTAATGTATCTAATATTGATGGTGGTCGGGTTTTTTATGTTCCTTTTCTTTTTAGTTTGCACCAGAAGTATTAAAAATAAATCAACTGTCCTCCTCAATAATCTAAACGAGGGGAGAGCAGAATTTTTTTCGTGTACAAATACCAACATCTGACAGCAAAATAAAGTGTGAGTTGGATATGAAACCCTCCTTTGGCTGATGCAATGGTGGCATGACTGGGAAATACACGTATTTATAATTACAGATAACTTTCATATACGGAATAACTAAGTACACTAGCTAGTTAGCATATTCCCCAGCTGCCCATTGATGATTTAATTCAGGTTTTTTACCTACGAAAAAATATAAATATAATACGAAATATAATACTAATTCAAGCTTGATGTAGTCTAACTCTTAAATTTCTGTTGTCCATATTTCGTATCCTAGTGCTTAAGTTTTATTTTGTGAGGATTATTTATGCCGGTGCTTTTAATTTCGGGAATGTAGGATTAACCCTTAGCGAATATAAAAAACTCCCATGACTATTGAAATTTCGTCCACCGATTAAGAGAGCTTTTTTAGGTAGGTAGGTTATGTCTTTGTGTGTTGTGAAGCCGCATTGGCTTTCGCGTCTAGAAAAAGCTTTTATTATGAGTTAGTGATTCCCAGCTGTACAAAATTGATTTCCGCGGTATAAGTAGTTCAGTTTTTGTGATCCTAAATGATTATGTATTTATAGGTTAAGTAACGATGACAAAATCTCAAATAAATGTTTGTTTTATTGCCTAAATAGCAATATGATGTGCTGATTTCTATTTGTGAGAGAGGATACTAGGATGTAGGTTTCGCGTGAGATAAGCGTCTGTAGGAATTCGGGACCCTTTTAAAATTTATATGTGTTTTTGGAACAAAGGGTCAAGGTTGGTTGGGGAATGTGTGGGAACAGATTTCAGCTGCTGGTGGTAAGGGTTGAGAATCCCCCGGAACGAAATGCCATGACTGAGTGTGCCGGAACCCTACACGAGTGTCGATGTAGGTGGACCATAACAATTTGCATTCCTAATGAAATATAAAATAGTAGAAACTCGGAACAATTTTATTTTTGTATTTTTATTTATTCAATTTGGCTGTTTCGTGAATTGTTATACCCTCCATCATACATTGCATGAAGGGTATATTAAGTTCGTCATTCAGTTTGTAACTCATCGAAATAATATTTTAGATCCAACAAAGTATATATATTCTTATTCAACGTAAAATTCTAAGACGATTTAGCCCTGTCCCTTCTTAAATGTAGACCTGTCCCTGCCCTTCTGTTGTAATCACGCTAGCTAAAACACACAGATCAGATTTTGTGTGCAGGTAGGTCAAGTTCGAAGATGGGCTATATCGGTCCACGATATCGAATGTTCCCCACATAACGGTACCTTTCAATATTCGGTATTTGGATGAATTTAGGCACAATTTTTAAATTCTACAAAAGGAGTTCTTTGCGGGTACTTTACTCCCTGGAGGAGAATTGTCTATATAGGTTCACGATATCGTACATCTCCCGATATGCGGTATTTTGATGATTTTAACCACATTTATTTTGATGATTTTAACCACATTTTTCAATGGAATTGTCTAAAATTCTACACAAGGGGTTCTTTTTTAACCCCTTGAAAAAGAATTGTCTATATTGGTCTACGATATCGTATATCCCCCATATAACTGCACCTACAGATATTCGACATTTTGATGATTTTAGCCACATTTTAAATTGTAATTGGTTTAAAATCCACACAAGTAGTTCCTTCTGAGTACTCCACACCCTGAAAGAGTATTGTCTATATAGGTCCACGATATCGTATATCTCCCATATAACTGTACCTCCATTCGATATTTTGATGATGTTAATCTCATTTTTAATGGCATTGTCATAAATTCTAGAGAAGACGTTCTCTGCGAATACTTTACCCTCTGAAAGGGAAATTTCTGTATAGTTCCACGATATCGTATATCTCCCATACAATGGTACCCCGGTATTCGGTATTTTGATGATTTTAGCACATTTTTCAATGGAATAGTCTGAAAATCCAAACCAGGAGTTCTCTCTGAGTACTTAACCCCTGAAAGAGAACTGCCTATATAGGTCTACGTTTTAGTATTGCACCCATAAAACGCTACCACGAGATATTCGGTATTTGCAGCATTTTCGCAACATTATACACTGGATGTGCGTCAAATTTCGTTTTTGAAGTTCGTACTACAACCTATATAGGTCTACGTTTTAGTATTGCACCCATATAACGCTACCACGAGATATTCGGTATTTCCAGCATTTTCGCAACATTATACACCGGAAGTGTGTCAAATTTCGTATTTGAAGTTCGTAATGGGTACTTCAACCTATAACGGAAAATTAAATTAACCTATAATTATGTCCGAAACGCAGCTTCTTTTTTAATTGTTACATTTCATCTGAGATTCCAGCGCTTCTATTTGTAGTCAGATTTGTGTGGCTTTTTGCAAAGATGATGGAGATCGGCATTCACAGCTTCTATGAGGGCTGCCGGTTGTAGTAGCAGGCGTACAATTTGCCTCATTTGTGGTGTTTAGGTTTTTCCGTGGAGGAAAACCGGGTCAGGTTTTCTTCCTTAATTTGCTGTTGGCGCTTGAAACATTCAACCAGAGTTAACCTCTTAGGACCTTGGGGTAATGTGTCCTGATTGGATTTCCAGCTCGAGGCCTGCAACCTGTCCTTGTTCTTGTGTAGACACGTAAATCTCTAGAGATTAATGTGATTACATGGACGATTGGTACAATCGCCAGTCCTTACATATAGCGAACGGCAACCAATAATGCTACCACATGGCTCAAATGTCGAATTTGTTTAATACACAAAAAGCAAACCCAACTAAGGCTATACATATGGTACCCACAAGCGACTTTTCGACATATGCCTTTACTTCCGCTTTTTTAGGTTTATACGTCGGCGAGATTGTCCGTCTTGTATATTTTCTGAGAACGGGACTAACTTTGTGGGAGCATTTGATCTGTTAAAGCGAGATCGATTAGCTTTAATGAAGAATATTGAAAATAACTTCACTCAAAATTAGACTTGGAAATTTATTTTTAAAACAAAAAAAATCCGTTAAAAATTCTCTTTAAATCTTAAAAATACCAAACATAGCAGTTTTATTGGGGTCTTTACGACGTGGACCTACATAGGCATTGTTTGTTATAAGCCATTACCATATTAAAAACGGGTATATTTAGCATCTTCAAAATACCGTATATAGGGAGATACCGTTATATCGGAGCTATACGAAGACCTGGACCTGCATAGACAATTTTCTGTCACAGTCTGTAGTATTCATTACGAATTTCAAATACGACATTTCTAACAACTTCGGTGAGTATTGTACCTAAAACCGTCAAAATACCTGCACAAAAAATTTTGTGTCACCGACTGTAGTACCAATTACGAATTCTAGATACGTAATTTGAAACTACTACGGTGAATAATGACGCTAAAATCATCAAAATACCGAATATTGGGAGGTACCGTTATATGGGGGATATAGGAAGACGTGGACCTGCACAGACAATTTCTGTTTTAGGCGGCAGTATCCATTAGGAACTTCAAATATCAAATTCGAATCAATTCCGGTGAATAATGTCGCTATAATCATCAAAATACCGAATATAGGGAGGTACCTTTATATGGGGGCTATACGAAAACGTGGACCTATGGTGATTACAACAGACAGACTGACATCGCTAAACCGACTCAGAATTATACGCTGATCAAGAATATATATACTTTGTTGGGTCTGACATGAGTATTTCGAGGAGTAACAAATTGAATGACAAAGTTAACATACCCTCCATAGAATGGTGGAGGGTTTAAAACGAGAAATCAAAGACAGAGATTTAGTTTTAGGTTAGCTCGCATGAATCGATGTTGGGTTGTATCGTAGCCCAGACTCACCTGCCCGTCCAACAGCAAGAAGCGCTAACAGACCCCTGCGCCCAATCCAACGCAGGCCCAGCAGACTAGGCCATAGATACAACAGAAGCCTCAGTTCAGCACCCCCTGAAAGGAGACAGAGAAGCAAATCTGCTATACCAAGAAGACCATGCCCTCAGTGCCTGTGAGAGTTTCCGCAGGTAGGCGTTTTTCAGTATAAGAGAGAAGCGTCGGGGTATCGAAGAAATTGCCAGTCGACTGCCCGTCCTTAACTCGTTGCCGGAGATGCAACGACGGCACCATACCTTACTGCACGGGGCGTCTTAGTTGAACGAGGTATACCTCAACATAGAGGCCGTAACCACCCCAGCTTTTTTGTGGGATTTGGTATTTGTACCAATGGTGATGGTACGAATAACGGTCGAAAGGTTCAGAATGTTGCGGGCCATAGTAAGCCAATCTAGGACGATGTCAAAGATTTTGTATGCAGCGTTCGACTGGGTCTTCAGTCGCGGGATTTACCACTTCACAAGTTCCCCAGCCGCACAAACAGTACTTGTAGTCTGAAGGTAAATACATTGATAATCGAAGAACTGCCCATATGCATCTCCTCAGACAACACAAGATGTTTTAGAAACTAAGCCTTTGCTGACCCTGGCCCAAAAGGAAATAATCCGATCGATGTGGAATGAGGGGCGGACACTTACTCCGGCATAAGAAAATATGGGTGCACAGCTCCAGAAATTGGAGATGTCCTGGTCTACAGTACGCAACTGGGCTACGTGTTTGCTGGACCAATCAAGAATATGCAGAGGAACTGATTAACGAGAAACCTTATGCTGTATAGTTAATGAATATTTACACATGTCACTCGGGGCCCACATAAATAACATTAAAACAGAATGATGTAAATGATGATGCCACCGGTAAATTCCAATACTGAATTCCAATCAATAACATCAATAACATCGACAACAGCCACAAATGGTTTGATGTGACGATGCAACTTTTAAAATAATCAGTTTTTAACGAATTTTAAGTCCGAACGCAATGTACATTAAAAAAAGCTGAAACAACAGAAACATCAAGCAACATTACAACATTACATACAAAATTTAAAAAGAAAAAATATTGTTATTACAAATACACAAATACAACAAATAAAGAAAAAATTTTACAAAACATTTATATTAAAAACATATAGAACAGTGTGGCTTGTTTGTTCGGGATACCGTAGTATTTTGTTGTTGGTTGGTTTTGTCTGTTACAACAATAACCCCTTCGTCGACCGTGCCTTGTCTATTAATAGAACAGTGTGGCTTGTTTGTTCGGGATACCGTAGTATTTTGTTGTTGCAAAATGGTCAGGCTTTATCCCTTTATTGTTGTTTTTATAAAAAAAAAACAACGTTTGTTTATTAGTGGAGAACGATGGTAATGTTTACCAGGGGGTAAGGCAGGGAATACCTAGGCTTCGGAAAGAGACACCAATCCTCATCAGTTCCCTTGTTTTTTGTCTGGGATATTCTCCCCAGAAGTTATTTTAAAAATAACTTCTATGACAAAAAAACATTTTTACCCAACTGACTAGATCGTAAGCTCAATAGAAGAGGAACCAAAGAATTAAATAAAACTAAAATTCTTTTGGAAAATCTTCTAAATCTTACAACCACACTCATAAACATTTACATCTTTCTCCACTTGTTATGCCTTCGCTCAACCTGAACGAAGTAGCATAACCATGTAAGTTGGTTTTGTCTGTTACACAAAAACTCCTTCGTCGACCGTGCCTTGTCTATTAATAGAACAGTGTGGCTTGTTTGTAAATGTTTATAAGTGCGGTTGTAAGATTTAGAAGATTTTCCAAAAAAATTTTAGTTTTATTTAATTCTTTGGTTCCTCTTCTATTGAGCTTACGATCTAGTCACTTGGGTAAAAAATGTTTTTTGTCATAGAAGTTATTTTTAAAATAACTTCTGGGGAGAATATCCCAGACAAAAAACAAGGGAACTGATGAGGATTGGTGGCTCTTTCCGAAACCTAGGTATTCCCTGCCTTACCCCCTGGTAAACATTACCATCGTTCTCCACTAATAAACAAACGTTGTTTTTTTATAAAAACAACAATATAGGGATAAAGCCTGACCACTAAAAACATATATATTAAAACTTAAACTGTAATGAAAAAAATTTAAGTGCTACCTTACTTAAGTAAAACTTTTGAACTATTGAATTAAAACTTAAGAAGTAGTGAATATTACACTTAAAATAAATTACAAAAACTAAAACCTAATTTTACCTCTTAATTGCACTTCCCCAGGGAAAAAATATAATGAATAAATAAAACACGAAATAATATAGTTTTCGAATTTTGTGATTTGTCTTAACTGTTTCACGCCCATTATTATAAAGTGCAAATTAAAATAGCTAATCAATATGGTGACAGATGAAATCCTGAATAATATTGAACAATTTTTGTGAGAATGTGTTTCACTATATATTTTGAATACACGCAATGCTAAAATTTATCGTTTGTAAGAATTAAAATTATATTCTGAAAAGAAAACATTACGCTTTCTACATTACTTTTCTAATATTTACGTTTTACGGTGAAGCTATTTGAGAAATTGCCAAAACAGCTAGGTGCACATTTTACATTTGTAACCTTAGCAACTTATCTAAGGTCTGTTTGTTATTTCGAAATCGGGACAATATTTTTGCGTTTAAGTTGTTATACGTTTTATACAAAATTAAAGAAAAAGGCTATGCAAACATTGCATGTGGATACAAGCGCCTCGTCTTCAGAGACAAGTGAAACACAGAGTTTTGAGGATTACTGCAAATCGGTAAATAACGTTTTCGCCTACTGGTTACAATAACGTTGTAAAAGAAATTTATTTAGTAAAATAAAATCGTGGAGGCGCATAAAAGGATCAAGTATGAACAAAAAGGTAGAAATGCCCCGGCCACCATGGCGAGCGGTAAGCTTTTCAACTTTACCAAAACCGGACAAAAACGCCCTGCTGCGCGCGAAGCTCTTGGATGCCTCAAGGTAAATTAGAGTTTATATGAAGTGGCTATTTTTAGAAATGGATAGCTTTTTGGGAAATATATTCGAGAAATTCTAAAGAATTGCAAATTTGAAATTTCAAAGAAATTAACATTTTTCGATATTTTTAACAAATTTGTAAAAAAAAGTTTTACTGAGCTTGGCTCTGCCAATTCACGGCCAATATTGTGAGGTACCGACTAAAATTGCTAATCAATATGCAAATTAAAATTGCTAATCAATATGGGGTCAGATGAAAAGCTGGATCAACATTGAACAATTTTTTGTGAGAATGTGTTTCAATATATATTTGTAATACACTAAAAGCTATACCTTATTGTTTGTAAAAATTTGTATAAGACTTATTATTCCTTCATTACTAAGCAAATAGTTCAATTATATATTAAAGTTTCACTGTGAAGCTATTTGAGAAATTGCCAAAACGGCTTTATACACAATTTACATTAGTTACCTTAGCTACTTATCTAGAGTATATTTGTTATTTTTAAATCGGGACAATATTATGAAATCAATGTTGTTAAACATTTTATTAAATATTAAAGAAAAATTCCATGTTAATACAAGCGCCTCGTCTTCAAAGGCAAGTGAAACACAGCGTTTTTAAGGAATATCAAACAACAGATGTGGTAAGCAGAAAAAATTCAACGAAACCTATTCTTAATTCTGCAAATCGGTAAATAATTTTGTCACCTAGTGATTATAAATACGTTTTAAAATCAACTCTTTTTTGTATATTAAATTTGTGGAGTCGCATAGATGAATCAAGTATCAACAAAAAAGTACCCATAACGTGCGATAAGTAAGCGAATTTACAGAAACCGGACAAAAACGCCCTGCTGCACGCGATTCTCTTGGATGCCTCAAGATAATTTAGAGTTTACATATAGTGGTGTTTGTTAAAAAAGCTTTCCAGGAAAGATACTGGAGAGGTAAAATTTTGCTCATTTGAGATGTTACAATTTCCCAAAAAAAAAGCAACGAATAAAAATGCTTTGCTGAGTTGGTCTCGTTTTATCTTAACCGTTTTCATGGCCAATATTGTAAAGTGCAAATTAAAATTGCTAATCAATATGGGGTCAGATGAAAACCTGGATCAATATTGAACAATCTTATTGGTTACCTTACCAATTCATATTGGTTACCTTAGCAACTTATCAAGAGTTTGTTTCATATTTTGAAATCGTTCCAATATATTAAAATTCGCGATATTTGATGTTTTTGAAAATTAGATATATTAAAAAATTGCGCCCCGTCTTCAAAGACAAATAAACACAGAGTTTTGAGGAATACCAAAAAGCAAATATTATAAACCGATAAAGTTCAACGGAACCCATTCAAAATTCTGCAAATCGGTAAATAACTTCGTCACCTACTGGTAATAATTATGTTTTAAAATCAATTTCTTATTATACCCTCCACCAAAAAAGGTATGGAGGGTATATTAACTTCGTCATTCCGTTTGTAACTCATCGAAATAATCATTTTAGACCCAACAAAGTATATATATTCTTGATCAGCGTAAAATTCTAAGACGATATAGCCCTGTCCGTCAGTCTGTCCGTCCGTCCGTCCGTCCGTCTGTCTGTCCGTCCGTCTGTCCGTCTGTTGTAATCACGCTACAGTCTAAACGAATTAAGATAGGAAGCTAAAATTTTGCACAGATCTCTCTTTTGTCTGCAGGCAGGTCAAGTTCGAAGATGGGCTATATCGGTCCACGATATCGTATAGCCCCCATATAACGGTACCCCCGATATTCGGTATTTTTATGATGTTAGCCACATTTTTCAATGAAATTGTCTGAAAATCCACACAAGGAGTTCCTTGTGGATACTTTATACCTCGGCAGAGAATTATCTATATAGGTCCACAATATCGTATAGCCCCCATATAACGGTACCCTCACGGTATTCGGTATTTTGATGATTTTGGCCACATTTTTCAATGGAATTGTCTGAAATTCCACAAAAGGAGTCCCTTGTGGGCATTTTACCTCCTCAAAAAGAATTGTCTATATAGGTCCACGATATCGTATATCCCCAATATAACGGTACCCCCCGATATTCGGTATTTTGATGATTTTACCCACATTTTTCAACGGAATTGTCTGAAAATCCACATAAGGACTTGCTTGTGGGTACTTTGTACCTCGGCAGAGAATTATCTATATAGGTCCACAATATCGTATAGCCCCCATATAACTGTACCCTCCGATATTCGGTATTTTGATGATGTTAGCCACATTTTTCAATGGAATTGTCTGAAATTCCACAAAAGAAATCCCTTGTGGGCATTTTACCTCCTCAAAAAGAATTGTCTATATAGGTCCACGATATCGTATATCCCCCATATTGTGACGAACAGAAAAAAAACGGTTTCGATATTTTTAAGGATCTATGAAGGATCCACAATGCCTTTTGGCTCATGTATTATCGACATTGGAAAGAGACACAGATATTAAAAATTGATAGTTAATTGAAACACAAAACGGACTGTGGGAGCCATTGGATAGTGCTAGCTAAACAGTCGGGTGGGGGGTTCGAGTCCATCTTGAGTATTTATGAATCTTTCCAAACATAAATAAAAATTATTATAGACTCCCATATTAAAAGCAACAAAAGAAACTAAAAGCTGATAGTGGACTAAACTCTGATCAAACACTGTACCCCTGTTGATTCAGAATATGGAAAAAAAAGTTCAATTCTTGAAATGCCTATGGAACTCCAGGTGGAAAATGGAGTTGAGCTTCTTTACCCTGCCCTACCATGGTCTCTAGAGCATGAATTTATAGAGACCCCAAATACGAGAACCCTAGTTAGTTTACCTCACTCCAGTAAGAAAATATTTAAGTTATTATTCCATGATGTTTACAAAATATTTATTCGGAAAATTCATATCAAAAAAATTAGAGCTAATTGAAATTTGATATTTAAATAGATCAGAGAGGAATTCATATTAAAGTCACTAAGCCTAGATAGTAAAATTTATATTGGAATACAAATTAAATAACAATTGATTTTTTTAAAAACTTTTATCATGTTTTAACTTATGAAATAAAGGTATGATATGTTTATGCTAGTTTACGAACAGAACCATTTACACATTGTTGGTGTTACCTTACCAAATTATTAAGGAGATATATAACTATAAATGGTTTTGTTTGAAAAAAATTACTACAAAAGCATATACACTATTTTTATGATGCTTAGTATAATGTCCTATTTCCTTGACATTATAAAAATATATATATGTAAAAACAGTATAATTAAAGAGAGATAGGGGTTTTTTGAAGAAAACAAATTTAAAAAACTATTAACATCTATCTTTGTTTAAAAGAGATTTTTCTTTCTTTAAATGAATCTACAAATTTTCTACCCCCTAAAACATATGCAAATATTTCAAATTAAATTCCTTGTGTTTGTATACAAAGACTTACTCTGATGTTCTTATCCTTATTTGCACATACATACATAGATGATGAACTCCGAGGCCTCGACGATCATTTAAGTGTGTGTGTTTTTCAGGACTTTTGTAAGACGACGATTTTCATGTCACATGGATATCAGATGTGTGGATAGTTTCTGAAATATGTTTTTTTGAGAAATTTAGTTTTAAAATGTTTGCATAGGTTTCTATGTTGTTATATCATTCTAATTTTGCGATTTTTAATGATACTTATGCTGTTTTAATACTTTGTTTAATAATTCATAATTTTATAAACTGGCTCCTGCTTCAACCGGGAATCGAACCCAGGCTGCTAGATCGACGATGGTTGCAGCGACAGCTGCTTATGCGCTAGGCTATGGCGGTTCTTATCGACAGCCTTTTAATTAGGGCTTAGATTTGCCGTACCCAATAAGATGCAATTTTTTTGTTCGGTACAAGCCCTCAGGCATCAGTTGTTTTTGCATAGATGCGTTTGCTGTATGTTCGACGTTTGTTACTGGGGGCTCGACTGTTCGATGCACGATGTTTGTTGCTGGGGGCTCGTCTGTTCGATGCACGTGCTGTCTCGCACAGTGACCGATTTTGGCAAAATAGAGATTTTCGAATTTATGATTTCCAATGGACTTTTATTTTTTTATCGTTGTATTCGCCTTTGTAATAAGGTTCAATTATTAATATTTTTGCTGAATTTATAGCGAATAGCAAAATGTCGGTTGCTCAATTAGGATATATGGCGGAGTTAGAGAATATTCTAGCCATTATAAATTACGTCCGTCCTGCAGATTCCATCCAGGGTTTCGGCGGGAAATGCTTACCAGAATTAATCCGAAGAAATGGACGTTATTTGGTCTTCTATTTCTTTATTAACTTTTTTTTTTCTTGTTATTTTATAAAAATGTTGCCAAAGAAAGCAATGGTGGTTTTCTTCTTGTTTGCTGTTCACTTATTAAAGGCACTTGTCTTAAAGTTTGACTGTTACACACTATTACTTCTCGTGATGCGTGTGTTCGGTAGTCGATCAAACAAGAAAAAGAGCGATCACTTATCGCATTGCTTCTAGCTAAGCGAAGATCTTGGGGCTTAAGATATTCACCACTGTATGGAACCTGAGTTGGAGAGAGCTTGACGAATGTCTGTCTTAAAAAACATAACTGCTACGTATGTTTAATACCAATACTATTGCCATAAATTCTTGAATGTATTGCAATCGATTTATCTATTCCTTCCATCAAAATTACGCAATGATAAAATTTGAGGTTAATGATAAAACAAAAACAAAATTATAAAAAATTTATTGAAATACCTACAGCAGTGGATTTTGGTAAATTTCATCAACAATTAATGTTAAGAAAAAAAACAAAGAACAATAATAAAAATTTGATCTGCGCGGGATTTGAACTTATGTCCTCGGCCATCCGAATCAAACGTTCTACTCCTGTGCCGCCGGCAGTGTACTACTTAACATTTGTGCCTAATGCTATTAACATAATATAGTAACATTACAGAATCTACATCAGAATAACAACAGAAGGCAAAAT